GAGTGTCAGCTTCGGCACGTCGCCGTCCTTGAGTTTTGCAAGCGCCGTCTCCAAGGAGAGCGCGGTTCCTCGGTGCTGCTCGTTTGCCCCTGCCGATGCCGAGCCGGCAGGCGGCGGCGGCGGCGGGGGCGGGCCGCTAGCTGCAGGCATCTACGCACCGCGCCCCGGATCATCGCCAAGACCACCACCCCGTGGAGGTCCTCCGAATGCTCCTCCGCCTCCGCCGCCTCTAGGTCCTTTTGGCGGCGCCCCTGGAGGCCTCCCGGCCACCCAGAGGCCGATCGGAGGCAGCCCAGGAGGCAGCCCATCGGGCTGCGGCGTCGGCGGGGGCGTGCCGTGAGCGCCAGCTGCCGCCACAACGCAGGGTACCTGCTCGGCCGAAACAGTTTCTGAACGACCCCCCCGCGATCTGACCAGCGTCGGGCGCGGGCTCCCCGAGCCCAGCAGCGGGCGGAGCCACCTCCTCGGCCTCGCCGTACTCGCTGCTCGTCGCCTCGGCGCGCGGCGCACGAGGCATGGATGGTGGTGGAACGCCCTCTGGCGCCACCTGCCCGCCAGCAGAGGGCTGCGCATTGGCCTCTGCTCCGCCGCTCGCCTGCGACGGCGGCGTGCCGGGGTTGACGGTCCCCAGGCGCTGGGGTCCGATATCCTGTCGTTGATGCTCCATTTTGGGCTGCGGCTATTGCTGCCGATGCGCGGTCTGCGAGCCGCTTTGCCTCCGGTTGAGGCGCTGCACCTCCATGCGCAGCTCGCTCAGCTCTGCCAGCTGCAAATCCATTGCGCTGGACGGAGGTCGCTGTTGGTCCTGGCTGATGTCGGGCGCGTCCGCTCTGCCAGCACAGTCAACAGCTGCTGTGGGCGGCAGGTCGGGAAGCTGCGGCTGAGCAGGCAGCGGCCGCATCGTGCCCGCCGCCCACGTCTGGCGCGCTCCCGCTGCAGCGCCGACGGCCAGGCGCTGCATTCCAGTCGTGGCGGTGCTGATAGTGGCCCCCACTGCGTGGCCAGCCATCTGCGCGCCAGATGCTACGGTGCGGCCCAGCTGTCCTGCGAGGCCGCTCGACCAGGCGGCCTGCCGGCGACCGTGCGCGATGTCGCGGTCGGCGAAGCAGGCGAAGCAGACTGCGTGCCCCTGCCAAGACTGCATGCAGGTGGGGCCGCTTGTCCCGCCCGCCCGCTCCAGGAACACCTTTTCCACTGTCGCTCGGCGCCGCTTTCGCCATCTAACCTGTTGACACAATGAGCAAAAAATGGGAAGGGGAGCGGGCGAACGTACAAGACGAAACCCATATGCGTTTGACGGTTTGGGCTTCTCGGGAGCGTCTCTAGGGCCATCCTTCAGCGTCTCTGGAGGCTTGTCGCGTGCAATTTCGGGCCTCTGGGGAACTCTTGCCCTGTCTGTGCGTCCCTGATGGGCTCGCCCTGGGATGGGCCCAGCCCCCCCCCAAGTCCGCAATGTTGGGCCTGCAACTCCATGGATTTAAAAGTGGTGATCGGCGTCTCAAGAGCGACCAGGAAAACTCGCGTGTGAAGACGTCTCAGGCAAAATCACAACTTTCTGTCGGCATGAAGAAGCATGGGACTTTTTCTGGATGGCAGATCCCGAGCGAAATCGTAACTTTCCGGTGGCTTTCCGGTGGCGTGGCAGAATTTCTTGTCGCCGTGGAGGTCGTGGGCGGCATTTCATGTTCTTGTCGTGACTCCACTTGGCTCCTGTCACATTAACAGGGAGGATGGAGGCACCGGAAACTCCCGCATTTGCATCGAACCTACAATTGTCCTGGTGGCCCGCTGCCTCATAGGAGTCAAACTTCTTGCACTGTCTCGGCGGTCACCTTTTTACTTAACAGCGAAGACTGATAGGTTTCTAATGGTGTCAAGAGAGAGCATTTTGACTCCCCAAGGGGGCTCTGGGCGGGTGCGGGGAATGCCGCGGGAGTTTTTTTTAGCCAACAGTACACCCTTCATGGTCTTCGAGTTCCCAGAATTCTATTCCTGGGCATGATTTTGAATGCCCGGAGCCAACTGTAGGCCACTTCGTGGTCTTCGAGTTCCCAGAACTCCTTTCCTGGGCATGATTTTGAATGCCCGGAGCCAACTGTAGGCCACTTCGTGTCTTCGAGTTCCCAGAACTCCATTCCTGGGCATGATTTTGAATGCCCGGAGCCAACTGTAGGCCACTTCGTGGTCTTCGAGTTCCCAGAACTCCATTCCTGGGCATGATTTTGAATGCCCGGAGCCAACTGTAGGCCATTTCGTGTTCTTCGAGTTCCCAGAACTCCATTCCCGGGCCACATTTTGAATGCTGAGGCAGGCTGATGCTGAGGCTGAGGCAGGCTGAGGCAGGCTGAGGCTGAGGCCGAGGCTGAAGGCAGACTGAGGCTGAGGCTGAAGCAGGCTGAGGCTGAGGCTGAGGCAGGCTGAGGCTGAGGCTGAGGCAGGCTGATGCTGAGGCAGGCTGAGGCTGAGGCTGAGGCTGATGCAGGCTGAGGCTGAGGCAGGCTGAGGCTGAGGCCGAGGCTGAAGGCAGACTGAGGCTGAGGCTGAAGCAGGCTGAGGCTGAGGCTGAGGCTGAGGCTGAGGCAGGCTGAGGCTGAGGCTGAGGCAGGCTGATGCTGAGGCAGGCTGAGGCTGAGGCTGAGGCTGATGCAGGCTGAGGCTGAGGCAGGCTGAGGCTGAGGCCGAGGCTGAAGGCAGACTGAGGCTGAGGCTGAAGGCAGGCTGAGGCTGAGGCTGAGGCTGAGGCTGAGGCTGAGGCAGGCTGAGGCTGAGGCTGAGGCAGGCTGAGGCTGAGGCAGGCTGAGGCCGAGGCTGAAGGACTGAGGCTGAGGCTGCAGGCTGAGGCTGAGGCTGAGGCAGGCTGAGGCTGAGGCTGAGGCTGAGGCAGGCTGAGGCTGCAGGCTGAGGCTGAGGCTGAGGCTGAGGCTGAGGCTGAGGCTGAGGCTGAGGCTGAGGCTGAGGCTGAGGCTGAGGCTGAGGCTGCAGGCTGAGGCTGAGGCTGAGGCTGAGGCTGAGGCTGAGCAGGCTGAGGCTGAGGCAGGCTGAGGCTGAGGCCTGAGGCTGAGGCTGAAGCAGGCTGAGGCTGAGGCTGAGGCTGAGGCTGAGGCTGAGGCAGGCTGATGCTGAGGCAGGCTGAGGCTGAGGCTGAGGCTGAGGCTGAGGCTGAGGCTGAGGCAGGCTGAGGCTGAGGCCGAGGCTGAAGGCAGACTGAGGCTGAGGCTGAAGCAGGCTGAGGCTGAGGCAGGCAGGCTGAGGCTGAGGCTGAGGCAGGCTGATGCTGAGGCAGGCTGAGGCTGAGGCTGAGGCTGATGCAGGCTGAGGCTGAGGCAGGCTGAGGCTGAGGCCGAGGCTGAAGGGCTGAGGCTGAGGCTGGCTGAGGCTGAGGCTGAGGCAGGCTGAGGCTGCAGGCTGAGGCTGCAGGCTGATGCTGAGGCAGGCTGAGGCTGAGGCTGAGGCTGGCTGAGGCAGGCTGAGGCTGAGGCTGAGGCTGAGGCTGAGGCTGAGGCCGAGGCTGAAGGCAGACTGAGGCTGAGGCTGAAGCAGGCTGAGGCTGAGGCTGAGGCAGGCTGAGGCTGAGGCTGAGGCAGGCTGAGGCTGAGGCAGGCTGAGGCTGAGGCTGAGGCTGATGCAGGCTGAGGCTGAGGCAGGCTGAGGCTGAGGCCGAGGCTGAAGGCAGACTGAGGCTGAGGCTGAAGCAGGCTGAGGCTGAGGCTGAGGCAGGCTGAGGCTGAGGCTGAGGCAGGCTGATGCTGAGGCTGAGGCTGAGGCTGATGCAGGCTGAGGCTGAGGCAGGCTGAGGCCGAGGCTGAAGGCAGACTGAGGCTGAGGCTGAAGGCAGGCTGAGGCTGAGGCTGAGGCAGGCTGAGGCTGAGGCTGAGGCTGAGGCTGAGGCTGATGCAGGCTGAGGCTGAGGCAGGCTGAGGCTGAGGCCGAGGCTGAAGGCAGACTGAGGCTGAGGCTGAAGCAGGCTGAGGCTGAGGCTGAGGCAGGCTGAGGCTGAGGCTGAGGCAGGCTGAGGCTGAGGCAGGCTGAGGCTGAGGCTGAGGCTGATGCAGGCTGAGGCTGAGGCAGGCTGAGGCTGAGGCCGAGGCTGAAGGCAGAGGCTGAGGCTGAGGCTGAAGCAGGCTGAGGCTGAGGCTGAGGCAGGCTGAGGCTGAGGCAGGCTGAGGCTGAGGCCGAGGCTGAAGGCAGACTGAGGCTGAGGCTGGCAGGCTGAGGCTGAGGCTGAGGCAGGCTGAGGCTGAGGCTGAGGCAGGCTGAGGCTGAGGCTGTGACTGCGACTGCCGTTGCCACTGCGACTGTCATCGCGAATGCGACTGCGACTGCGAGAACAGCAGAATTCTACAACTGGATTCTCATCTGAATCTCAAGGGGAATGCTTCCAGATATGCTCCTACACGTCGCTGTTAGGTTGCTTTGCCGGGATAATTTGAATGCAGGGCGTTGGTCGCCGCCAGCTTGCCGCGGAGTGCTTTTTGTGAACGTCGCTGCCGTCACGCCGCGGCTTGCTTTTCGTGAATGTTTACCGCCGGCACGCCGCAGCGTGCTTTTTGTGAACGGTCATCGCCAGCGGCCGCGGCGTGTGATTGTCTCCAAGCAAGGTTATAATTTTCTGACGGATGAATACGACAGGATTTAGTCGGGGGGGAATTCCCAAGCGAAATCGCAATTTCTGGTGGCGTGGCAGAATTTCTGGTCGCTCTGGAAGGCGACCAGATTTGTTCATAGGAGGAAGTCGTGGGCGGAATCTCATTTTCAGGTCGAAGCCCCATTATGTAGGCCTTATTATATTAAGAAGAAGATGGAGGTACCCGAAACTCCCGCAGTTGCATCGAAACCACCATTATCACAGGATTTTTGTTGCGCTGTCTCCGCGGTCCTACTTTGCATCTAGGGGGTTTAGCGCCAACAGAACGCTGCAGGAACTTTACACGTCAGCAGGAATCCCCCCCCCATCAATCCGAGGGAAGAGCTTCAGAGGCCTGGTGACCCCAAAGGGATAGGCGGATCGAGTCGCTCCAAGAGGCGCTCCGCATCTTGAGCGGCGAGGAGATCGCGTAAGCGCCAGCCCGCTGGCGAACCGCACAGTGGCGCGCTCCGCTGCCGCTTCTGCTCTCCTGCTGCTGGCCGCGGGACCTGGCCGCTGGTCAAAGAGCTGAGCCTCGGCCTTGGCGGCGGCAGAGCGCGGCGCCAGCGCGCGGCGGCGGGGGGGGCGGGTACCACGACGGAGGAGGGCTCGATGGGGTCCACCCTTGCGTTCTTCGTGCTTCCTGGGCCCACTGGGGGCTTCTCGTCGCCACGGCTGGATCCGCCTCGAGAAACGGGCCAGGATGGACCCCAGGAGGGGTTCGGGGGGGCGACGTTGATCGGATTTGGGCCGGGAGGGAGAGCCGCTGTTCGAGGGCGTCCGCCGGGCGGCGCGCGCACGCACCGCGCGTCGCCAGTTTGTGCCGTGTCGCAGGACGCAGCAGGATTCATTTCGATCCGATCGATCGGGTTCGGTTCGGTTCTGGTGTTCGACGATCTGGTGCGGCCCGATGCTTGCACGGCGTTGTTGTGCATCCTGGCGCAGCGAGTCCGATTCAAGTCCGATTCCGTACCGATGCGGCCCGATCTTGTGCACGTTCGGATTCGATCCGATGTCGCATGATGTCCCGATTCGACGCTGACTGATCCTGCGTAGGAGGCGAGGGGTGAACGATGCCGTTTGTCGCATGTTTGGGGCTTTGGCCGTTCCAGTCGCTCCGTCTTGTCGCCCGCGTCGCGCTCCTGCTGCGTCGCTGCTGCTGCTGCTGCTGCTCCTTCCTCTCCCTTCAGGTTCCCCGCACCCTTGCTCTTCGATGACGTTATTGCCTCAGTAGTGACCTTCGGTCCATCCAGCCATCTTGCCTCGGCCGTGGACCACGCTTGGGATCCCTCGGGAGGCCCCTCGGGTGCCTCCAGGCGGGCTCTTGGGTGCCTCTTGGCCGCCTGATGGCGGTCTCGAGGGCCATCCTGGGGGCCTCCAGGGGACATCTTAGAGGCCGCCCAGGGGCTCTTGGGCGCCTCTGGGGGTTTTGGGGGTTTCTTGGCGGTCTCGGGGGCCATCCTGACACTGGAGGGCTCCCGGGGCCAGTTCGTATTCCTCCCTCCCGAGCCGAAACTATTTAGAAACAACATGTTAGCCAGCGTGGACCCCAAACAACGCGTTTTTTGGCATTGGAGGTGCAAGCTTTGCGGTGGAAGCTATGTAGTGTAACCCACTCTGCTGAACTTGAAGTCGTCATCTCCACTGCTCGCGCAAACATCCCACCCACCCGCAACTTGGTTTGCAAAACCTGTTAAGACCGACTACGACGACACCGACGACAACGACTAGGACGACACCGACGACGTCTCCGACGACTTCGACGACGACAACGACGCCGACGCCGACGACGACGAAGACGACGACGACGACGCCAACGAAGGCGACGACGAGGGAGGAGGAAGGACGACGACGGCGACAACGACGACAACGACGACAACGACGAGGGAGGAGGGAGGACGGCGACGACGCGAACGACGACGGGGAGGAAGGACGGCGACGCCGACGACGACAACGACGAGGGAGGAGGGAAGACGACGACGACAACGACGACGACGACGGCGACGAAATAGGAGGGACGACGACGAGACGCCGACGACGGACGACGACGACGACGTGGGAGGAGGAGGAAGGACGACCACGGCGACAACGACGACGGAAACGACCACGACGCCAAAGAGGACGACGACGACGAACACGAGAAAAGACAGAGGACGACGTAGGCGACGACGACGACGACGACGCGGGAGGAGGGAGGACGGCGACGACGACGACGACGACGACGCAAGAGCGCGCGCACGCTTTTGTTGAAAATCCGTGTTGCGAAGATTGGGTTTTTGTAGGTTTTTTGGACGCACGATTTTGAAATCCTTCCGAAACCGATGGGTTTTGAAGGTTTTCGGCGTACGCCCGCGACGACGCGCGCGCGTCTGCACTTCGTCCCGTTTTTTGCAGAGGATTCTCGCGACGGCACACGCGCAAGGGCGTTCGACAGATATCGACATGCGCGCGCGCGAAGCCCGTTTGGTAGCATTTTGTTAAAAACATCTTGGGAAACCTATGGTTTTCTAAAGATTTCGCAAGAGCTCGCGCGGAAGCTTTTTTGGCAAATCAGTGTTAAGACACCATGTGTTTTTGTAGTTTTTTTGGAAACTCGATTGCGAAATCCTTCCGGCACCGAAGGTTTTTAAAGGATTTCGGCATGCGCGCGCGACGACCCGCGCGTGTGCACTTCGTCCAATGTTTTGCAAGGGATTCGGGAACAAGTGTTATGTTAGAACAAAAAATGTCACCGCATAGTGTTTTTTTTTATACAAGGGAACCTCAGGGGGGGGAATCCGGCTTGGCTGGGATGGTATGATTTCATCTTTAGGATGGACGAGTGTGCAGAATATATACGAAATCATATTATCCCAAGGGGAGGCGATAAGTCCGGGGCGGGGGGGGGTAGAGTCTATTCTCTTTTTAGAAAGGAGAAATTATGTCGTGTAAGCAATGCGGTGTGAACGGGAGGTGACAGCTATGGGGTGTATGCTATTGTATGTAAGCTATGTTGTGCACTGATATGCGGCGCAAGCTGAGTGACGCAAGCTATGTTGTGAAAGCTATGCCGTGTAAGCAGTTATGTAACGATGTAAGCTACGCTGTGTAAGCGGCCCAGGCGGCAGACAGACAGACAGACAGACAGACGCCATGCACAACATAGGTGCGTTGGCAGAAGATGTGAGACATACTAGACAATTGGGTGAAACGGCAAGCGTGCTAAGCATAGGAGGAGGAGGAGGAGGAGGAGGAGGAGGAGGAGGAGGAGGAGGAGGAGGAGGAGGAGGAGGAGGAGGAGGAGGAGGAGGAGGAGGAGGAGGAGGAGGAGGAGGAGGAAGGGGACTGAACAGCTATAGTGGCTGAAGGCAGAAGCGCTTTGCGCGGGCGCGCCATGCCATCCGGCCATCCTGCCATATCTGGCGCAGGGCGTCTTTGCCGCCAGCTAATTCGCACGCCATGCTAAAAACACAACGCGTCCACGTATTTCTTGGTCTGCCACGCTTGCGGCGCCCGCCCGGGCGGGCCAAATCGGCGGTGCCGGGCTCAAAGATACACCTCCTGATTGGGCTGCCGTCTGGGATTATGGTTTGGTCGGTCTCAGAGGAGGACGATTATGTTAAAATCCACTAACCAGGTCAAAACCACATTTAGGGTTTTTTATGTTAAAAACCTAAACTATGTCAAAACCATACTTAGAAAAATGGGCTCGTCGCTGCTTCGGTGAGCACATTAGCAGCGCCATCCTGCAACGACCTCATCGTTTTCGCTTAGAAGTCTTGCGTGGGCATCGGGTGGGTCTTGGAAAGAAAGGTGTCCAGTCGTGGCGCAATTCTATGCGATGCTATGCGATGCAACGCAATGCAACAGTGATATGCTAAGATATGGTATGCTACGCGATGCAATGCTGCATGGTGCAATGCTACGCAATGCAATTTAATGCTACGAGGATTGCACATGTAGTTCTATGCTATGTTATGTTGTCCAGTACTATGCTATGCTATATTATGCTATGCTACGCGGGCTCCACCTCCTCCTCCTCCTCCTCCTCCTTCCGTGCCAGCGCCGTGCAGGAGGAGGAGGCTGAGGAGGAAGGGAGGGGGGAAGGGGAGGAGGAGGAGGACGAGGAGGAGGAGAAGGACGAGGAGGGGAGGAGGACGAGGAGGAGGAGGAGGACGAGGAAGGAGAGGAGCGCCGCCACCGCCGCGGGGGGGCGTCGCCGCCGCCGCGGCGGGGGGGGCGCCCCGGCTTATTACGGGGACATCTTCACTGCGCAGGCGGCGCGCGCGCATTCGCGCGCGCGCCGCGCGAGCGCCGTGCGGGATGATGGCGAGGAGGAGAAGGAGGAGGAGAAGGCGGAGGAGAAGGATAGGCAGGCCTTCACTTGTTTTCCCCTCGCAGTGCTTGCGTTCAAAGAGTGCCCACTTCCCCTTGCAGTGCTTGCGTTCAATGAGTGCCCACTTTCCCCATCGCAGTGCTTGCAATTAAATGTCGGTTTTCATGAATAACCGTTTGTGCTCAAACCATATCATGTGCCGATTTCCGTTTCAATGAAGTGGGCCGCTCAGATAGAGGCAGACTTCTTGGAGTTTGCAGATGATACGGCTGCCGAGCCATGTGCCTGGGCCGCTCAGATAGAGGCAGACCTCTCGGAGTTTGCAGATACACATGCCGAGCCAAGTGCCTGGGCCGCTCTGATAGAAACAGACCTGCAAGCAGCAGATGATACAGCAGACCTGCAAGCAACAGATCATACAGCAGCAGATGATACAGCAATTGTGGTATGCGACGGTGAATCATCGCGGTGGGCTCTGACGGCGTTGCACAGGGAATTGCGGAACCCCTCGGAGTTGGTGGCTGGTCGAGCGGTGGAGTCGATGGCTTGGCTGATGAAGAACAACGGTTTCAAGTCTTGCAAGCGCCCCCCAAGGATGGATCCCGTTTCGGAGTCGATGATCACAGCCGTCGCGGCGTCCTCGTCGTTCATGTCGATGATGGCCCTGAGCGAGGTCCACGGCCAGAGCGAGTGGAAAACTAAATGCACGCTGACCCGTTTCTATTCGGCCTTGCACTTACTGGTGTGGAGGCAAGGTTTGCAGATGGCGCGCCGTCTGTGCGCCAAGGTAGTCGAGGCGGGTGGAGAGCTTATCTGTTTCAGCGAGTTCGCATCGTACGACGAGACGCCTCTGCCAGTGAGGGTGCATGCCGAAGAGAACGTCGTCGTGAATGTCGGAGCACACGGCGCAGCAATAGTGGAACCAGGTCTTGACAATGCTGCGAGCGTCACGGCTGTGCAGGAGGAGCCCAAGGCAAAGATTCTGCAGACGGAGTTTCACATTTCGATGTTGGTGAAGGTTGGCTCCATTTACCGGGACGTCAGTTTGGAGTTCCCCTGCCCGTTGCAGGTCATGGACAGAGCCACGGGCGAGACCTACGTTCATTGCCTCGGCTGGCAGGGCAGGAAAGGCTTGGACGACATCTCTACCAGATCCATGCGGCGCGATCGGCACGTGATGAGCGATTCTGACAGTGCTGTGCTGCGGGGCGAGCGGTGCCTCGCTACTAAGCGCCCTGACGTTGGCGTGGCGCAGGGCTTCTGCAGGCTGCATCGCATTTCGGCGATTGCCTCCAGCGGGATCGACAAGTTTATGAAGGACGATGTCAGTGGAATTATCAACATAGCCTTATCGTTGAAGGCTTCGGGGGCCATGCGAGTATTTCGCCGCGCTCTCAGGGCAGTCATTCGTGCGCGACTTGTCGTGCTCAGGGGTTCGCCTGGTTATGTTGCAGATCGTCGCAGGTCTAAGCTGCTCGACGTCTTCTGTCCGATCCACCCTGGCAACCACTCCTCTTTCATCGATAGGGCCATCGTGCAGCTCTGCGCCAATGGTAATTGGGACAACAAACAGAGATTCGAAGTCTATGTCACAGGTGAATACGACTACGAGGAGGTGGTTCATTACGTTTGCGTTCATTTCGTGAAAGTGGTGGCTGGACGTTGCTTCCGACCATACCCGAGGTCGCGATGGACAGGCGCAAGGGGTACGCTGGAGAGGCTCGGGCTGTTGATGAATATCCATGGGTTGTTCCAGGAGGCATACGTGGTGTTCTGCAAGAGTTACAACGTGCGCGTTCCGCAGGAGCACCAGGGGCAGATGCTTCCGATCGTTGACGATGTTGACCAGACAGCCCAGAACTCCGAAGGGCATCTCCCCGTGGACCGCAAGAGCGATGCCAATGCCCAGTTCATCAAGCAGAGGAAGCAGTACATGAAGGTCGGGCTTGAATTCAGTGTCTGCGTTTCGGCGCCAGCGAAGTTGGTCGTCATGACGATGGTTGTTGAGCCGCAGCAGGCTCTCATGCAATCTGCCATCGACTTGGCGGGCAAGGCGTGGGAGAGGAAGCAGAACGCTCGCCGCGCGTATGCAGTGCAGCAGGGCTTGGACGCAAAATCGAAGCGGTTCAGAGTGCAGGAGGCGTACGGCGTCGCTCAGGAAACGAAGTACAAGGATGAGGTGACCGACTTGCTCGATGGGGCGAATGATGCGTGGGAAGCCTTGCCGCTAGCCAGTCGAACATCAAATGCTCGGTGTCTAGCGTTCCGACTACTGGCGTTCGGGGCGGCCTATATATATGTGAAGCTGGTTCGGCCCAGTCTGAATTTCCCCAATCGCACGTGCCGGCTTGCCTTCGATAGCATTCGAGATAACGACATGTCCTACATGGGTCGGATGCTGGGCATGTGCCCGAGGTGCCGTTTCGACCCCTGGACGTTGAAGCTCGTTGAGCATTACGGCGATGACATCTGCACCGAGCGCGCCGTCATCGACGTTGTCACCAGGGCAATGCACGAGGAAGTTGACAATGCGAGAAGGGAGGCTACTCATGCGAGCATCCGTCGGGACGTGATCAAGGCGTCATGCCAATCGCCAACGATAGAGCTCGGTTTGGCCAGCGGCCGCTTCGTGGACAGGAAGGGCAAGCAGATCTGCGACTGCAAATCCCTGGAGGCCCGCGGCGATGGCCAGACTGGGGAGGCTAGCGGCGCCGAGGAGCCAGCGCCGAAAAGGTCCAGGGGGCCATGTGGAGGCGCATGCAGGGCGTGGCTGAGCGAGCAGCTCCGAGGCGTGCCCAGAGCGGAGCAGGACCTCAAGGGCATCCACGACGCGTACAAGCAGCAGACGCCAGAGGAGAGGCTTAAATACACTAAGGATGGAGCTGCAGCCACGCAAGCTGGTCGAGAAGGAGTTGCAAGACCATTCGGCCCCGATGCTCAGGATGTTCAGAGGGCCTTGCATCGCGATGCGCGCCGCGAAGAACTGCGGGTGATGAAGGAATGCGTTGCCGACCGCATGAGGGCGCAAGTACATGACGAACAGCAGCCGCCGCATTTGTCATCTTCGAGCTTGGCTGTGCTGCCCACTGGTGCTAATACATTCGCCTGCATTGCAGACGGCGTCGCACAGGCCCGCAGGACCAGACACATCGCAGACAAGAAGCGCGTGCTGGAACAGAAGCTTTACGACGAGGCCTTGGCGGCGCATGCAGGGCAATCTGATGTTTCGGCCGAGGCATTGGAAGTTGTTTCTGGCGTCTGCATGTCGGGTTTGCCACTCACTACGGCATGGGAGCACCGACCCCCTTTAACTTCGACGGTCAAGTCAGCTTGCTGGATGCCTCGGTCAGCCAGAGATTTGGCCAAGCTCGTGGCGAGCCTAGACTCGTCGTCCAATCCCGCTTGCAGGCGCATTGCTTCGGTCCTGGACTCGGATTGGGAGACGCGCCACCTCGTCGTCCAGCATGACAAGTGCGAACAGTTCGGCAAGATGCCAAATACACGCTCGACGTGTTGGATTATCAACCGCTGCTGCTGCCGCGGGGATAAACTTCTACTTAAGGCCATGGTGTCTGGACTGTACGCGTGCCTCAGTCGAGATTTTCCGACAGGTAAGCCTGCTAGACACGATATGCAGCAAGGTTGGTTTGTCGCGTGCATCGTCAGTCGGGCGCCTGAGCCATTGGCGGAGGAAGAGGCGGATGATCACGTCACTCAAGCATGGTGGTTGCACATTTCGTTTCAGAGCCTGAGCCCTTTATTTGCAGTGTATACGGGCATGTGCTCAGACAGTTCCATCGAGGACGACTTTGTCAAGCTCGAGGCCGAGGAGGCCATTTGCTGCGACTACGACGTTATGGATAACATAAGAAGTGAAGTTGGATACGGGGCTGCGTTGCATCGCGGATATCATCGCCTCATCGCTTCTGAAGCCCTCGTCGGCGCGACCCAGCCGAAGTTCCAGGAGGCGCGCGCTGTCGGGGAGGAGCTGTGCTTTTGGCCTGGGTCGGTGATTTACAAGAGATCGGCTGCCTTCCTAAGGTCGTGCAGGGTTGCGCTTAAGCCTCTGACGTTGTTGGGTGGTGTGTGGGGGGGCTCTCGTTATCCTCAAGAGGGGGGTGTATCGGTAATTCCCAACATTCTGCGCTCTTCTCAGGTCGCAAGCAGCTGCTCGCGGCGGCGCCCCTGGGCACGGCGGTGACCTGCACGGCGCCGAGGGCGAGGGTGCAGAGGTTGGCATCGACAACGGGGACGAGCACAAGGACCATGGAGACCTCGACGTTCACGTCGACGGCATCCACGGCGAGGGCTCCGAACCTAAAGGGAGTGACGACGAGGAGGACTCAGAGGATGAGCAGGGGGATCCTCCTGGTGGTGGAGGCGGAGGCGGTGACCCTCCTGGTGGTGGCGCCCACGGTGGCGGAGGCGGTGGTCCTCCTGGCGGAGTCGACGGCGGTGGCCCCCCTGACGGAGGCGGCGGCGGTGGGCCAGGGGGTCTGCATGTCCCTGCTGAAGTGCACCTCAACATCGGATGCGGCGAGATCGTGTACTACGCGACCACCCAGAGGTTCGTGGCCTACTGCAGGGACTGCGGGCACGCCAAGTGCAGTCGTGAGCGGACGGCGCTTGCAGGGAATCGGGCCGCCACAGGTCGGCCTGTAGGCTTCTTGGCGGCCTGGCTCTTGGACGGCCACAACTGGACGGATAAGCCTAACCACTGTGGAATGTGCATCTCCTCCATGACCTACAGGATGCGCCAGAACGCGCGCGGCATTGTCGAGCGCATGGCACAGATCGGCGACGTGAATGCCCTTCGCACATTGGCATGCGAACGGGCGCGCAGGCATGGAGAGGGGCCCGAGCCTGATATGCAGCCCTAGCTTTCATCGTGTGTGGAGAGTGCCGCAGTACAAACATTATTCCACTATCATTCTTCACATCAGGGCAAACGCTATGCCATGAAGTGTTATGATATGCTATGCACTGCTGAGCTACGCTATGGTTCAGGGCTCATTAGGGGCTCTCGGTCCATTTGGGTGTCCATCGGTGTCTCTCGGTGCACCTTCCCTCTTGCATCCCTGATCCCTCAATCCTCCTTCTCCCATTCCCCCTCTGAGGTCCCAGAACTGAGCACTCGCGGGGTCCCATTCCAGGCCCTCTCGGGGGGCTCCTGACATCCTGGGCAACTTGAGAGGACCATCGATAATGTGTGCTTTCGTTCTTCCCTAGGCTTCCTGTTCACCCCATGGGATCATAACCCACCCGATCCATTCATATACGGTTCTACCAAACCTACTTTCACATCGTATCATAGTATGTGTCCATTGGATTAGGCGTACCATGCCAAAGCACAGCTTAGCATGACCTATCCTGCCGTTTCATAGTACGTACTGTCGCGTTCCATCATATTGTGCAGCACCATCTGTTTTTAGAACTGCAGATTCTCTGCGCCATAGGCTATGGGCTCGACTCGAGAAGGGTGTAAATCGATCGAGAGAGCATGGCCCAGATCCGTGTAGGTCCCGACACTCCCTGCCGCAATGATGTCGCGCTCCAGTCGGTCAGGGAGCACGCGAGGCCCTCAAGTGGAACGACGAACTCCCTCGGCGCAGAGCAGGTCGTGAAGGAGCGCCGCTCCACCCCTCCCCGCGGCCGCTGCATCGCGAAGGGGCAGCCTACGCTCGAGGAGCGCCGCCGGGAGGACCGTCCGCTGGTTCCTCCGCCCATCGAGGCCGTCCGCGCCACGTTCTACGGGGGCAACCGGTCACCACGCACCTTCTGTACGCCTGGGAAGTGGGAACATGGCGAGGCTGCAGGTTTAGAGCTGCATGACGCGCCCGAGACACGAGAGGACCGCAGGCGCACGGGCTTTCGCATGGATTGCCCGCAGCCTAATCGCATGCACCGTGGTGCGCAGTCCCAGTTTGAATGGCGGCAGCTGCGCGTGCAGCTGAAGATGCCTCACATCCCCAACGGGACCCGAGAGGGCGTCAGGCACTGGTGGGCCCCTGGCTGGCTTGAGCTTCCGCTCCAAGATCGCCAGCCCCTTGACGCGTGGTTTTTTCCACAGAACAAGCGACGAGGTGTACCTGATCTGTGGTTTGTGCCGCTGTGGCGCGCTGGCACAATGCCGCAAACAGACGACCCGATTGCAGTCGCGCTGGTGTGGAGGGATCGCCACATTGGGCAGTACATCGTGTACGACGTCGCGTTCGAGCCTGGCGTGCTGGCCCTCGCGGGCGCCTGAGGACCGCTGGGATGCTGGCGCCAGACACGACGGGGCTCTTCGACGGTTTCGGGAGCCCGAACGAGGCTTTGGATGAACCTTGGTGGCGTGGCTCGCCAGGGGTTGCCCCATACAAATCGCCAGAACTGTAGGTGCAGTGTGATTTTGTATGAGCGCTTTGTGCAAGAGCGAGCCCTTCGGCTCCAATTCATAGCTCAGTACAGTGCGTGGCTTTTCAGTGCGTGACGTTGGAGTCATCTGCGGCGTCGGCCTCCGTGAGCCGCGTGCACGCGAAGCTCTCTGAAAATGGTATCGTCATCAACTGGTTTGGCACGACATGGGACGCTGAGCAGTGGCAATTTTATGTCAGGATATGCTAACCATGCTACTGCGTTGAGCAATGCTATGCTGTGCCACCAGTGCCGCGTTGAGGTACGTCGTTGTTGATGTGGTATCCCAAGTGCATGAGCTGCTACGCAGTGATTTCGGAAGCGCTGCATGCTGCGCTATGCTAGGCCGTGCGGTGCTATGAAAACGCGGTATGAAATATTATGGTTTGCTCTGCTATGCCATGTAAGGATTTGCGATGGTTTATCGCAAACGCGGCGGGCTAGGCGTAATATGTTATGCTATGCGATGCTATGGATTGCGGCGATGGTATGCTAGGACGGCGACGACGACGAAGACGAGTACGAGGACAACGTCGACGACGGCGACCGCGACGACGACGGCGAGGACGACGACGACAATGACGACGACGCCGACGACGCCGACGACGACAGCGACGACGCCGACGACGACGACGTCGATGGCGGCGGTGGTTACGACGAGGACAGCGACGACGACGACGACGACGACGACGACGACGATGACGACAAGAGACAGTGAGGGAATTTCGGCCCCCACGGGGGGGGCAGAAGTTCGCTCAGACGACGATGACGGACGACGACGACGACAAAGCCCCGAAGCCTCGAGCAGCTACAACAACGACGGCCTCTGCTTGATACTTCCTCACACATTGTTCGCCCCCCCCCCCGCTCCCCAGAACTTGGAGTTGATGAATGATGGGTCGACCATGCCAAGTCAAGTGTGCCGTTGTCGTATGTTTAATGTAATCGGAGTCTCCTTCTCGGCATACCCTCTGGCATGGTCGCAGTATGGTCTTGAGTCCTCTCGGGTGTCTTGTCGCATCACTCCGTCTGGCCCTTTCGCAGATTCCAGCACCTCCGCAGCCATTTGGGCTTAGGTGCTGCCAGGCATTACCTGGCCAGATAGTCACACAAAGTCTACGGTGTGTTTTCTTTGCCCCAGCTGACGGGGCCAGTGATCCACATGGACATGGGCATGGCGTCAAGCAGCGCTAGCCCAGCGAGCGGCGCGCAGCCAGCTATGGCACAACCTGTTTGTGCTCCTTTCCATTTGCATGGGTGGGTGGCGTCAGACATTGCCACGGGCGTGCTCGAGGTGCACGGAGCAGCTCGCTTGCGATCGATGGGCGTGGAAATCAAGAAGCTCGACATCTTCGAATTGCATCGGGAGGACTGGCTCACCCAGGTGCCGAGCCTCATCTTCATGTCCAACCTATGCCCTCCGACGGGCCATAGGGACTACTTGCAGTGACTTTTGAGGAAGTACTTGCAGTGGAACCCGAGCGCATCAGAGCGCAGGCTGCACTACGAGGTCATGTGCCTCGAGGCGGTCATCGCACAATGTCCATCTGCGTCTGTTGTGACCATCATGCGGTCGAACGAAGCTCGTCGTGGCGGGGGCACTCCCGTCGTCGAGGCCCAGATGGGGCACGTGCCTGGCTGCGTTCCCAAGGAGTGCAACCATGATGCGGGAGACGACCTGAGGCCTCTGGGCGGCGGCGGGACCAACAGAGTGCGCATGAAGCTCCACGGCCCCCTCAGGCCGAACGATTTCACCTCGCCAAACGGTGACGGCAGCATCAACGTAGTTGCGCTGTGTGCTGCAGCCTCGGCGAATCGGATGAAGGTGCTGTTCCTTGGCGAATGGGACGGGTCATTGTCCCTCGGGTGCGCGGTTGGATGCATGTACCACCAGACGCTCGATCGGGAACTGGGTATCGGAATGGTCGTTGATCGGGGCATCGTGCCAAGGCGTTCGTTGAACAACCAGCGCCCATCCACATGCAAGGAGTTCTACGAGTACGCGATGCAGTACCGCGCGGTGCAGATCGTCGATGAAGCGACGCGCATGAATGCTCCTTGGCCTGAGGACTGGGAGGACAGACTCAATCCATACGTCGGCCTCAATACGGCGTGCATGTGGCATTGGGCGCAGTTCTGCACCGACGCTAATGGCCTGCCCTTGGTTTTCAGTGCAGCTCAGAGTTCCATGGGGGCAGGTCCGATCAATCCTTGAGCGCTTTGGGTGGCAACTCAGAATCGACACGTTCTTCATCCGCTGATGTTCTTAGCATTTTGTATGTTCATTGGCAGCGCTCAGTGCATGATGATGCTCGTCTTTTGGTCTCCAGCCCGACTAGACACCATGGTGGATTCGTCAACTGCTTCTCTCAGCACGGTGTACGCTCAATGGCGGCGTCGAGATTGTCTGGTGCTCTCTCAGTGCGAATGGACACATCGGCGGTTTCGTCGACTACTGATCGTGCATGTGCTTTGTTCAGTGGCGGTGTCAGGAATATGGCGGCTCGCTCTGGGATTGCCTCAGTGTACATCGCCACAGTTGTAGGTGCACAACGTTTTGTGTATTGCAAATAATGAAAAAGTACTTGTCATGCGTGATCAGAGAGCCTAGTACAGTTTCTGGCTTCTCAGCGTGGTTTCGCAGTGCTTGCCGTGTTTGGAGTGGGTTTCCTTGAGACTTGTGTAAGTGAAGCTCAGTGAAAGGGCATCGTGATCAACAGTTGTGGTTTGTCGTGCGACGCTGACCAATGCTAACAGCTGTGGTATGCCAGTGCCGTCCTATGTTATGCAATGCTTATGGAAGGGCTGCGTGCTATGCGATGCTGTGCGATGATATGCAAACGCGCTGATATATTATATAATTCGATATGATATGATGTGCCATGCTGTGCTATGATGTACCATGCAATGTTTTGCCATACTGCGCAGTGCAATTCAATGAGCCGACATGAGCAACTCGGTCATCTAAGCTATGCTTCCACGTGGTGTACGATGTTCCAATGTGATGTACTATTCATAAGCAGTTCGTAATATTGTATGTGAAGTCGTTGCATGGCATAGCAAAGTAACGCACAAACTTTCGCAGCACGTTTGCATAACATTGCATTGCGTAGTATAGTGCAGCATGCAGCGTTTCCAGAACCCTTTTTATATCAGGGCATGTCGGGCGTAACACGTCAGCCACAACATACCGCAATGTCGCATTGAGGGCATGGCATAGCATTGCAAAGTGAATGACATGGGCAGCAGGTCATGGCATGCATTAGCATGTATCTTATAGTTTGATGGCAGTAGTCGCATTGCACTGCGTCTCATTGCATGTAGCACTGCATGGCATGCAGCGCGTCTGTATGGAGCCAGCCTTGCGTCGCAACGTATAGCATAGCATGGTGCGCATACTCATGCTAATATATGCTGTGATAAACGGTGCTATGATATGCTACGCCATGCTGCTTCCTGCAGCGTTGTAATGCAATGCTATGCT